CTCTCTCTCTCTCTCTCTCTATTTCTTTCTTTCTCTATCATATTCAACCTGGTCATGTTATAATATATCATTAAACACACTGTAAAAGTCCCAATTTTGTCGTGAACAGAAATTTTACACCTTTACGCCTCAAACTTTACAGACATAAAGAGACTTGTAATTCCAATATACCTTACCAAAAGTACCAGCCGAGAAGACGACAACAGACCAATTTGTTCTGAGATGAAACAAAAAATATGGGACAGACAAGTATGGCAATACGACACCCTTCAGAAAACGAAGACAGCCCAATTAAGTGATTAAAATGAAAAGAGAAACTAAAAATTAAAAAAAAACCACTAGAAGAAATTAGTAGAGCTGTCTAAATTTTTACTTGGGAAGACACTATTTAAAATAGGAACAATTTAACAATTTCGGTACATGTCACAAACTGTTTCGTGCCTTTACATGATTGTGTACAGGCAGGGCAATGAAAATGTTGAAATGATACAAGTTGCCTTTCCGTACAACGTCTTTCGTCTTTCTTTCGAAGAAGAATATTGACAAAACATGGAAACAATAATTGATCCTGAAAAGGCCCCACGGCACCAAAACTAAGAAGCATTAATTTTATAAATATTTTTCAAAGGGTTGATAGATGCTGGGGAAAAAAATCTGAGACGCAATTTCATTTTTATTCAGAGCACACATGGACACATCCCGCGAACAACAAAATCCAAAGAAAGGTGAACACCAGTGGCTTTTCACCAGCATTGCCTTAGTTGAGACTTAAGAGAAAAGAAGACAGTGGGTTGAAATTAGACCGAGCAAGTAATTTTAGATAAACGTAATACGAAATCAGCTTTTATACTATGGGTGTAAATTTATAATTTCCATTGTGCCATTTTGGAATCGCTCACTATTTCACAAGGAACACACGCCGAATTTCCAAACAGAAACCCTCGAATCACATATCGAAGAGTAGGTGGAATGTCACCTCGCTTGGCCCAACACACACGCACTCACATGCACAGGCAACATCTAGCAATAAAGATGAAATGATAACACCATACAGCTATAAATAAATGTTTCTTCTCAAAAACGCACAACCATTTCAACAGCATAAGCCTAACCGTTAACAGGAAGGTAGTTGAGGGGAAGAAAAAAACACGTCATGTTAGTTCTAATGTTCGGAACTAGTTCTAGTGCTGTGTGACATGGCTCACAGCGAAGCGCGTGCGTAGCGGGGCCAGTTCCCTGAATAGTTATTGTGTGCGCGTGTGTGAGAGTGTGTGCCCTGCACCACAGGTGAAAACAGAGCTAGGACGAGCCAGCCGTGTGCACGTCACCACACCGCGCGAGACATGGCGGACACTCCTACAAACGTTTACAGACTTTTCTTTTTTTTTAAAAGAGGTGCACCACCTTACAACCCCCGAAAAAAAGTGCTCAGATTACAAAATCTCGAGGAGTTGACACGAGAAGAATGGAAAGGAGAATGTTTTCTAAAACTACGCTACCTTTTGTCAAATCCCAAGATAAGTGAGTCTACTGCCATCCATCTCTCTAACCCCGCCAGTGAGCTGCGTAGATACGGCAAAACTAGTGAGGGACGATACCACCATCCATACTGTGCATCCTTAAAATCACAAAGTTCTGTCAGACGTTTTTGGCCGTTATCAGATACCTAGACCATAATGAGCTCAGAAACCTGAATGTTCTACCCGCTCTATCAAAAGTATTCGATTATTCGGAGTCCTTATCAAGATATCCAAAGAACTGCATTCCAAAACATCTTAACCATGTTTAGAAACTCAGAATTTCTAACTTCAAATTCCCCAAAACAAGGCACTGAGCGTACAGAACATTGTACTCCTTGGCTAGTGGCAATGACTATATATAGACGGGGTATCTCTCTCGGCACTGTCGCTGGTCCCCAGACTTCCACAGAACCGCGGGACGACTTCCGCTCTCCGGATATCGTGTAGTACGTCACCACCTCTGTGCTTTCTTGTCCTATCTCCACATTCAATAACAGGGAAAACAGTCCATAACAATGAGTGAGCTTAAGAAAAAGTCACATTTTCATTGTTAATAAAATGGAGATACAAGAAAGTATTGAGGTCGCGACGTGGTGCCCATTGCAGATGGGATCGGGTCGGGTCGGGTCGGGTCGGATTGGGTCGGGGGTGATCACCCCAATTCGTCGTCTGAAAATAAGCTCGTTTTTTTTTTAGGCGACGATTGAGTCGGGTGCGATCGGCTTGTGCAACGATAGCTGCTTTGCGCCCTCAATATAGCTAGCAAACCAACCCGACCCGACCCGATTCCCCAATGGACACACTGTGTAAAAGGAAAGTTTGGCCTTGTCCTTGTAGTTACTGAGGTCCCTTGAACATCTAGCTCTCGCTTGTAACATCGAAGGCAAACGAGGCAGGGGTAGACCCAGAGCAAGTTACTAGGCGAGCATATATAGATGGGTGATGGGGAAATGTCAAGATGATAATAGGCCTATAGCTTTTCTCAGAGCATAGGAGCAAAGGAATGAATGGAGAACCATGATTGCCGATGTCTGTCGCAGATCTGGCACGTGATGATGATGATGATGATGATGATGATGATGATGATGATGATGATGATGATGATGATGACGATGAGTTGCTGAAGGTGACTTGTTCCATTCCTGGTTATGGCCCTAGTTGCCGTGAGAGATCACGTTGTCCGTCCTTGGTGACGCCCCTGGTCTACAGCCGAGTGTTGCTGTCCTGGAAAAGACGCACACACACAACAAGGTTATCTTCCTTTGGTTTTTGTCATAAAATACAGAGAAATGAGAAAATAATTTGAGAAAAGCAACAAAAAAGGGTTATTTTCCAATTGTTTTTGTTATAATGTACAGAGAAAACGGGAAAATAATTTGAGAAAAGCAACAAAAAATCATTTTTAAAAAGGTTACTTTCCTATGGTTTTTGTTATAATGAACAGAGAAAATGAGAAAATAATTTGAGAAAAGCAACCAAGAAAAAAATGATATTTTCGATTAGTTTTTGTCCAAATGTACAGAGGAAAAGAGAAAATTGGAAAACATCAAATGAAAAAAATGTTATTTTCAAACGGGTTTGTTATAATGTACAGAGAAATTGAGAAAATATTATTTTGAGAAAAAACAAACAAACAAACATTCACAATAATTATTACATTCCAATAGCTTGCAGTCTTAGATTCGGCGATATGATAACTCACAGTCTTAGATACGGCGATATGATAACTTACAGTCTTAAATACGGCGATGTGATAACTCACAGTCTTAGATACAGCGATGTGATAACTTACAGTCTTAGATACAGCGATGTGATAACTTACAGTCTTAGATACGGCGATGTGATAACTTACAGTCTTAGATACGGCGATGTGATAACTTACAGTCTTAGATACGGCGATGTGATAACTTGGGGGCGCCGAGTCGCTGCTGCTTGTTCTCTCCACTTCCCGCTTGCCTTTGTCGGCGCTGTGTTTTACGTCAGAGCTTTTGGTGCTGGAATTGCTTGCGTCATCGAAAACAGGATGCTAAAAATAGAAATTTAAAAAAGAGTGCTGAAATAATTACAAGAGAAAAATGACTCTAACCTCCCTAAAAAGAGTGATAAAACATACAATTATAGAAATACACTCTTTTCTTTACGGAAGGAAGTTAAAAAACAAAAACAAACAAACAAACAAACAAACAAACAAGCAATAAAACAAAAACCCAACAACAACAAAAACCCAACAACAACAAAAACCCAACAACAACAAAAAACCGAACTACAATTTCACAACTACCAGTATGACTTTTAAGCAAACCAACAAACACAAAGAATGCGTTATAAACCTTACTCAAATTGTCAATAGTCTGCTGGCAAGTACATACTGAATGCATCCCCCCCC